GTGCGCTAAGTTCACCAAGCGGACCTAATCAATAAAATCAACTATTTCTTTAGAGTTCCGATTTATTTTACAATAGTTCTAGAGTTCTATATCATATATAACAATAGTTCTAAAGAAATAGTTGATTTTACTGATTAAGTGCGCTAAGTTCACCAAGCGGACCTAATCAATAAAATCAACTATTTCTTTAGAGTTCCGATTTATTTTACAATAGTTCTAGAGTTCTATATCATATATAACAATAGTTCTAAAGAAATAGTTGATTTTACTGATTAAGTGCGCTAAGTTCACCAAGCGGACCTAATCAATAAAATCAACTATTTCTTTAGAGTTCCGATTTATTTTACAATAGTTCTAGAGTTCTATATCATATATAACAATAGTTCTAAAGAAATAGTTGATTTTACTGATTAAGTGCGCTAAGTTCACCAAGCGGACCTAATCAATAAAATCAACTATTTCTTTAGAGTTCCGATTTATTTTACAATAGTTCTAGAGTTCTATATCATATATAACAATAGTTCTACTAATTAAAAGCGAAAAGTTGATTTGCGAAGACTTAATTACTATACAATTTTTTATAAATAAATTATTACTGCTGTCGCGCGGAACTTTTTGGATATTCGTTTTCTGATCATAAATGAACGTTAAAAATATTTTTAAACCAATGGAACTCTCAAACTGCGGCTAGCGCACCCTAGCTGCTGGTACATTTACGCGACTTCGGACACTATATAATTTTTTATAAATAATTTATTACCGCAATCGCGCAGAACTCTTTATATTTTCATTCCCTAATTGCAAGTGAACGTTGAAAATATTTTTAAACCGACAGAACTCTCAAAGCGTAGGTAGCTCACCCCACCTGCTCGTAAATATACGCGACCTCAAATACTATATGATTTTTTATAAATAAGTTATTACTGCTGTCGCGCAGAACTCTTTGGACATTCGTTTTCTGAACATAAGTGAACGTTAAAAATATTTTTAAACCAATGGAACTCTCTAAGTGCGGCTGGCGCACCCCTCCTGCTGCTAAAGTTACGCGACCTCGAACACTTTATAATTTTTTATGAAGAAATTATTTCTGCTATCGCATAAAACTCTTTATATTTTCATTCCCTGATTACAAGTGAATGTTGAAAATATTTTCAAATATGCAGAACTCGCGAAATAGTGTTAATCTCTCTTATTTTATTGTCGGTATTTCACATTTTGTGAATTAGGTCTTCGCAAATCGACTTTTCGCTTTTAATTAGTAGAACTATTGTTATATATGATATAGAACTCTAGAACTATTGTAAAACAAACCGGAACTCTAAAGAAATAGTTGATTTTACTGATTAGGTGCGCTGCGTGAACTTAGCGCACCTTTTTTTGAAAGTTTATTTTTTTGTATTTAATAACCGGAACTATTTAAAATTGTTGCATAGAACTGTAGAACTTTTCAAGAGAGTATCAGAACTCTAAAAATATGTCACATTTTTAAATATGGTGTGTCAAGTTCACACAAGTAGTATTTTCTTCTGTTTTACGCACATTTGTTGGTAATGATGACGGAAGAAAGCACACTCACGATATAACATATGATTAGCAACGTGAAACATGAAATCACGCAGTCACTTCATCTCACAAGCACACTTTTATTTGCAGAATTCGCTGGCACACATCAGAAATTCGTGTTAACATTCAATGTGAATTTTATCCGATTTCTTTTTATATTTTGTTATATATATATGTGTGTTTTTTCATATTTGATAAAATTTAAAATAGCAAACTTCCTTCCAAATCTGATTTTAGTCGGTTAGAAAGTTAAGGCTAACATTATCGCACATTGATAAGTCTGTTCAGGAATTTCACTTTATTTTATAATTCGAATAACTCCTAATATATGGTGATGGTGACAAAATAAGACCAAATGCAAGTTTTGCTAACAGATACTAATCACTTTGATTTATCTATTTGCACAGCGAATATAGTCCGAATTAACAGCAAAAAACAAGTTTTTAAATTTGTGACAATATTGAAGTGACCAGGATTTCGTAGAATCACGATTAGATATCTAACTTTGTATGTTATAATTATTGCGATTTACAGATACTTGCACGTTGCCACGGGCGAAGGGAACATGTATGGAGAAGCAATCTCGATGGTACTTTGATCAATCAGAGAATCGCTGTATACCATTTTATTACACTGGCTGTAGTGGAAATAAAAATAACTTTGAATCTAGAGAAGCATGCGAGTTCGATTGCCCGCCTAAAATAGGTAAGACACGATTTATATTCATCTAGTGTCTTCCCTATATGTTTCTGCACTAATCTATTATCTTTAGTATTATTTTTTCTTGCGCTTTTTATAGAGCACTTGTAATGCAAACTTTATTCTTAATACGAAATCGCATTGTATGTGAAGAGTATTTAAATAGAAAGAATCACACAACGTACATACATATATCACATTTGATATCACATAACATGTTTATACATAATTTTGTTTTGTAATAATAATTTGCATTAAAACTTTTTATATTTTCAAGTTTGAAACTCTCAAAATTTCAATATTTTTCTGAAGTCTAGAAGGTTCATTCTTATATCTTTATATTCACTTAAATAATTAAAATAAATAACATTGACTAGCTTAAGCCATTGGTAACAAAAGACAGAAAGGTCGTAATTAGTTGCCTTATATTTGCAATATATCTCACGTAAGTCAAATCGACCGACGAATGAAATCTTTTGACAAAATAATATTATCAGGAATATAATCTCTAACTTTGCGCAAACACAGAGCAAGACATTTGCCTTCTGCCTGCTCTCCTGGGTGATTGTCGCAATTACACTAAACGATGGTACTACGATTCCTACGAGCAACATTGCCGGCAGTTCTACTACAGTGGATGCGGCGGCAATGAGAACAACTTCGAGATCGAGCATGACTGCATCAACAGGTGCGTGCTGTCCATCACCACACCGGCTCCACCAGGAAAAGAAGTTGAGTTTCGAGCAGGTAATGCTCTTGATAATTCTGGAAATTAAGCACGAGCAACGATACTACTCAGACACATTACTCTGTCTTACAGAATTCTGCTTCCTACCCGACGAACATGGTCCGTGCACCGAAGACCAAACTAAGTGGTTCTACGACAGCCGCGACGGCATATGCAGACAGTTCCTATACGGTGGCTGTCAGAGTAACGGTAACAACTTCAATAGTCAGGAAGAATGCGAATATCGCTGCGGGGAAGTTCAAGGTATGCCGTACAGAAAGCGTACAAAGTTTACAGGAAAGATTTGACATATTATATCATAATTAAAATTAAAATCTTATAATTATTTTGTAACGATTATATGAAGTTATCTTAATGATATATGCATAAAATATATAAAATAACATACGTGCTTATATGTAATAGTGACTAAAAAAACAAACATGTATTAATTAGAGAAAATATCAACAATTTCAGATCTCTGTACGCTACCTAAGGTGATCGGTCCTTGCGACGGCTATGTGAAGCAATTCTACTATGACCGACGTACCGATTCCTGCTATGAATTCGATTACAGTGGATGCCAAGGCAACAAGAATCGCTTCCAGGATAAAGTATCATGCGAGGTCAAGTGTAAGCGGCAACCTTCGCTATCGGTAAGCCCCCAAATCGTGACCACAGTAACTCCGCCGACCGAACAGCCGAAGAGCTCGATCTGTTTGATGCCACCTGATGCCGGCAGTTGCGACGGCACCATCATCGCGTATTACTACGACGCGCAACAGCAAATGTGCCAAGCCTTTTTATACGGTGGCTGCGGCGGAAACGCTAACAAATTCCAGACGGAGGAGCAGTGCGAACGACTTTGCGGAAAGTTCTATGGGCAAGGTAAATCGTAATGTTTTGGGAAAAAATCAGGTGTTTCTCCTAGTGAAGAAACGTCATCATGTCTTTTCACCTATAATAAAATTTTTAGTTTAATAATAAAAGTACTGTGTATAAATTTACTGAATATTTAGATGGCCGTGCCCTTGAAAATTCTAATCTCTTTCTTGAAAATATTTAAAAATATATTTTTATGTAATAAGAAGAGAAATTTCACTTAGAGATTGTTATATATCAGGTTAGAATATCATATATTTATGTAACGAAATCTTCCTCTTCTCCTAAACAAAAAAAAATGAACACGAAACACATCTAACATATCTAATGTTCGTTACAGACATGTGTAATCTCTCTATGGACTCCGGTCCATGCAAAGACGCTTCCTCCAAGTATTACTACGAGTCAAGGACGCGCTCTTGTCGCGAATTTACTTACGGCGGCTGTGACGGTAACGCGAATCGATTCAGCTCGATTTCCGAGTGTGAGTCCATTTGCATACAACACGAGGAGCCAGTGGTACCTGGAAACGAAGTTAGTGTTTTAAATCTGTGTAAGTACCTTTGTTCTACTTCAGACGTAATCTCTTCATGTCACATTGATTGTCACGATTGCGGCATCAAGTCTACTGCGGGAAATCAATCGAGTTTGGAGTAACTACCTTTGTTGTCTTAACACAGCGTTCTGTAAAGAACCGATCGACAGCGGATTTTGCACCGGCAGTATCAAGCGATTCTATTACGACGAAGAACTCCAAGTATGTTGGGCGTTTATTTACACCGGCTGCGGCGGTAATCTCAACAGATTCAAGACATTCGAGTTTTGCATGAGTACTTGCCATAGGAGTAAGTCCAGGATATGAGACCGATAATAAATTTCTCGGTTGTGTTCTCATAAATCTCGCTTTTCAGCTTTATACGGTAGTCGTTTCCTTTGTATATATGTACAATCTTACTTTTTATGTTTCTCATAGTCCTGTGCTTCATTCTTCTGATTTCCCATAATGAATCCATCCCTTTATCACTTATATTATATCTGTACTTACGATATAAGAATATGCTTATATGCTTTACCGAGTTAGTAAAACTTGTTATTTAAAGTAATTTAAAGTAATTTAACATATGAATATATTTTATGATTAAAAATTATGTATATAATAATTAAATTCTTAGAAATTATATATAATTTTAATAACTGTATATAATTTTATATATACATAATTAGTTATTATATTTTAATAAAATAAAGTCTGCCCTAAAAGTAAGACATGGAAGTGATAAGGAAGACCAGGATAAATTTGATTTCAACGGAGAAGAATTTGCTACAAATAATTCAAAACGGTTTTTCAGCAGCTTCTATGTGATTGACGTGCTATATAAATCGAAATATATGAAGTCTCTCATGATATACAAAATTCTCAATTGTCACATTACTTGCAGTTCTTTTTTCAATATGATTGATTTTTCAATATGATGCCGTTGTACTTTGTACAATATGATGTAGGTACTTTGTACAACGATATTAATGTTAACAGCTTTTTTGTTTATCTAAAATTTATTTTCTTTATTTGAGAAGATGAATTTTCCAATTTCTCTCGTATAACACGATAATTGTACTGCAGCGAGTAACGAGACAAACGTAAACCCGAAGGACAGGAAGGATCAATGTGCAAAAGTTAAGGAGGTGAGCAAAATGGCTCATTGTCCATACGGCAAGGAACAGTACGTAGACGAGCAGGATTGTGATCGCTGGCGTTGCGTTGATCCCTGCAGGACGAAGACTTGTCCCGACGGTACTCGATGTATCATTACACTAGTTGCAACGCAAGATGGTACAGAATACAGAGGCGTTTGTCAATCGAGTGAGTCTTATTAATGACGTAAAATATATATATATATATATATATATATGTATATATATATTACAATTTAGTTATTTTGAAATTTTTATTTTACTTTCGTGCTATCGGATTATTTCTTCGAAAACTTTTGATGCGAGGTAAAAGTAAAACAAATTAGCAGGGTTGGGTAGGAACTAGTTAAAAAGTTAAAAGTTAAGTTAAAAAGTTAAAAAGTTAAATAACTTTAACTTAATTAATTTTTACACTCTTAACTGTTAACTTAACTTAGTTACATTTTATCGGTAACTATTAACTTTTAATTCAATTATCTTGAAGTTAACTTTTAGACTGTCAGAAAAATCACTTTTGTGGCTTTGCACAAATCTCAAAATTGTGCCTCATATGTATGTTACTATATAGGAAAATTTTTGGGAAAAAAAAATACTTTTTTAATAAAAAAAATTCCGACAGCCTAAAGGTTAACCATGCCATAAAGATCGCGAGGCGTCGAAAGGCTGTTCAATGCAGGAGGGCTCATTTTTGATAATCTTCGAGGAAAAATGTTCGATAAAAATTTCGAAAAAACTTAAATTTAATAAGTTTCTGTAAATAAAACATGTTTCCAAATAAGGTATTTGTTTTTACCGTTATTTATAAAACTGAAACCGTGAAGTCATGAAATGAAACAAATTTAACCTTTAACTTTTTAATTTTAACTTTTAATTACTTTTTTTTTTTATTAACTTAATTTTTAATTCAATTAATTTTATTATGGGTTAACTTTATCTTAACTAAATTAAATTTTCAAAGCCATTAACTTTAACTTTTAACTTTGTTAAAAAAAAAAGTTAATTTACTCAACCCTGCAAACTAATAATATCTACATTTTTTTTAATTTTTATGTGAAACATTATTTTGTATGAAAAAAGTCACACTTTAAAATATTATGTATGTGAATCCTTTTAAACTCTAATGATAATTATATTAACATGATAATTATTTCATTCTTGAATAACGTTCATCGATTGAAAAATAAATCAACAATTAAATCGATTTTGCAGTCGTCAAACCCGGTCGTTGCCAAAAAATATCAAACAGCACGAAATGCGAGCAGGAGTGCGCGACAGATGCGGATTGTGTCGAAGAATTGAAATGCTGTGACAGCGGTTGCGGTACATCCTGCTTAGAACCAGCGTCAGAGAAACCTTTGACCACGACGTTACGACCCGTCACTCCATCACAATACGGTGGATCACCTGCAATGATCCAACAACCCGAGGAACCTCGTGTTAGCGCACAAGAAGGCGGCTACGTCACATTGAAATGCGTCGCGCTAGGAATACCTAAGCCGATCATCACGTGGAGGAAGAATACTACGCTGGTAAGCCGTTTTGTATTTCAGTCCATGTAAAAAGACTTCTTGATTTTTCTGTAATTCTTTTTTTATTTTTCTACTCACTTTATGATTTCTCAATATATGAAAACTTTTTTGTGGAGAAAAACAGAAAAGAAATTAAAATACCATACAAATATGAACCTTCAGATTGGACCTTCCGAGGCGAGACGGCGCATACTACACGATGGATCCCTTCAGATCACTAATTTATATACTTACGACAGAGGAACTTATGTATGCACGGCTGACAATGGTTTAGGACCGCCGGTAAAAGCGGAATATCAATTGAACGTTACAGGTATATAAAGAATCCATTTTTTTGACATAGCATGATTATTTCATTGTAATTTTGGATAGAATGTTACGTTAAGAGATAGTTTAAGATGTTTGTTAAACGGTATGGTATTTGTACTAATTTTATCGTAAACAGGAATTCCTGTTTATTGGTTGGCATATAATGTATTTAAATAACTCCCTTTCATTTAATATTGATCTATTCTTTAGGTAATGATATCATATACACTATTGTAGACTTCATTTCATAGACTTTGTTTCATAGTGAAATATATTACTCGATGAATGAAACAATAACGATGAATAAAGTTTGAAAATAATAGCAACCGAAAATAGAGTTTTTTAAAACTAGTTGCTTTACTTTTCTGTTAGTATAAATAACATACACGATAATACATTATAACTGCTGGTACTTCTTATAATCGCTTTTTAATGTCCATCAAGTCAAATTTAAATATTACGATTTTTGAAATATAATATACATTCTATACTTCGCCTCCGTTTAACGTCAGCAACAATTTTACCAGATGATTGTACAATTAACATATTTATTTCGTCTGCATTTCTAAGCACGCGGTGCACGTTCTTCTTCTTGCATTCTTTAGAACCGCGCGAACTCTCCGTCTCCATCATTGGTGAACCTGACACTCGCATAACAGTGGTGATGAACTCGTCGATAACTCTGTATTGTTACACTGTGGGTTGGCCGAGGCCGCTCGTCACTTGGTGGCGCGACGACGATATGTTGCCTCTGTTTTCGGATATTTACGAGCAGGACAGTGACTACAGTCTGCTGATACGATCGGTTACTCTGACTAGCCTTGGTATTTACACTTGCCAAGCGTACAACTTCTTGGGCAAAGCAGCTTCCTGGTCGATGATCTTGCAAGCAATCGGACCTGTCTACAACGTTAAACCTGAGCAGCAAGAATACACCAAGTATCTTGTTCAACCTCCGAGGAAACCCACCACCACTGAGAAGTCGCAGTACCCATATAGACCCACCAGAACACCATCTCCCGAGTATCAGACCTTCGCTCCTATTTACCCTTCCAGATCAACTCACTTGGCTCCTTTCTTCCCGACTACTACTGTCGAAACTGCCAAGGTGTTCAAAGGTGAGACCGCGAGATAACTGACATGTTTCCGGTTGTGCCGATCGTTGTGAATTCGAGCAAGTATGTTGCGTGGAATTGAAAACATTTCGCAGAACTCTTTTGAGATATCTATACAAATTTTTATTCGAATCTTATGAGTCTTTATTAGATGCACGTTTCGTGTTCCTCAATACAACGATTGATCGCAATCAGCGGCGCAACCGAAATCGTTTTATTTCTCATTTCATCCTGCATGCGTGCTTAATAATCAAACATTGCATTATGTTATCGCTTCGGGCTGTGTCACCCACTTATTTTCTGTTTTAAGTGCGTGATAAGAACTTAACACAATCAATAATATTTCTCTTTAATAATAGATAAGTTAAACTCGTACACCAGAGTTTTCGCATTCTTTTGTTTTATACATTCATTTTGTTATACATTCATTTAATTCTTTTAATTATTTTTTTTGTAATTTACTGAATAAAATTATCATACATGAATATTAATAAAGTTGTACTATACGTAGTGCCGGTCAAAGTCAACGTAACAGTGGAACAGTCACAATTCGCGGAGGGTAGCGAAATAAGCATCGGTTGCGGCGTGGACGGCTATCCTGTTCCACTTGTGCTCTGGTACAAGAACGACGAACTCATTCGAACGGATAATCGCATAAAGATTTCTGGTAAGATCGCAAATAAAACTATACTCGCAACCGAACAAAACAAAATACACACGATATGATCTGTTGCATCAATTCGCATTAGATATGATGACAAATCATGAATCGTTACTGTTTCAGAACTTAATCGGCTCATCATCAACCACGCGAATCGCGAGGACTCCGGCCGATATCGATGTGAAGCAACCAACGAGTATACTTCGGATTCCGACAGCGTCGACATACGCATAGCTGGTGAGCTACTCTCCGGCTTACGTCGAAGATACACCTCCTACGTGATTCTCTACGCACGAACGTTTGTGTATGTTTAATCTATCCCTCCCTCTTTGTTTTAGGTATCTTCATTCATCCCCATTGTCAGGATAACTCATTCTTTGCCAAGTGCGAGCTCATTGTGGCGGCCAAGTATTGTATGCACAAATTGTATGCGAGGTTCTGCTGCCGATCATGCACGGAGGCCGGCCAATTACCGGTGAAAGGACCCCACATTGACAACACAAAGAGAAGAAGAAGATCCATCCTACGTATGCTCGTCTAAGATACCAAATCGACTCTTCGGTATTTCCGGCGCGCGTGATGGCACATGTCGATTTTGATCGTGATATTCCTGGGACTCGCGACAGAACACATACGAAGACAAAGAGATATCATGCGCGCACCCACTCTGCCTCTCGAACGTGCTGAATTATCGACTTATTAACTCATTGTCAAAGCCTTAAAGCGTTTATACATAGATATAATATATAAGCACATCCAACATATACACACGCACATGAACACATACAAACACACACAGAGAGGGAGAGAGGAAGAGGGAGAGGGGAAGAGAGAGACACGTGCATATATGTGCGTACACCCATTTCTGACGCAAAAACTGAAGCTGACGCTTCGGTCAGTGCGATCTCGCTTTGACGTCCTTATCCATGTATATACGATCTGACGCTAAGAATCCTAGTCCGACGGAGCCATATTAGGCGGGTTAATTACTTGTTCTTAAGAGGGAAACGTTGCGACCGCGCGTATCCGTCAGTACCGTAACTATTAATTGTGTAACTACTTCATGTCTCGCGCTTTAGACGCATCGTCACCCCATGATATATCCGATAATAGATCGTAGAAATAATAGCTAGCTATTAGAGAAATATGAACGGAGACACAAAGGGAAAGGTGCAATTTATATGGATATATAACCAAAACGCGTTTATATATACACATACAACATATATACACCGTAAATGTAAAAGTCGCGATCGTAACCGATCGGAATCGACGTATCCTCTAGGACGACACTCGATTGTTTTGTATGTGCACCGATTCAATCGCAGTAAAAACACAGTGCCTTATTAGATGACCTTTGGAAAGAATTGGGGAAAGAATGTACATGACTCTCTCGTTTAGTGTAAATAGCCGTCACGTATACTCCCGCATACATTCCTCTAGAGAGGCGACATCGTGATGATACACATGTCGCGCATAAAATATAGATTTAGAGACTTGTCCGACGAAAACTTCGACACACTCAACTTGGTGATTCTCAAGCACGAACAAGGTGTTATCGACAAAGATATTAAATACGACCAAGAGACATGTAAAATCGTTAGTACCACGTAAAGTAGCGCGACCCACGTTAATTAACGATCTAGTGAATGTGTTGGCACACAGTCGACATTGTTCAGTCGTTTCCGCGGATTCGGAATTAGTTACAGCAGTATGAGAGCACACAAGGACGAAACGCGAGGCGCATTCTAGATATACGTATGTGTCGCCCCGTTAGTTCGTTAGATCTGTCATAAATGATAATGACTTACGCGTCGTGTGATTTTTCAAGGGCGCACGGTCGTCGTTAGCTCGAAGAAAAAGAACAAAAATATTAAAATGATACAGGAAGACGACGGTCGCGTTAGATATATGTATATATAATTTTCACATCGTCGTCGTGCGAGTCACTGTCGCGTTCTTCCAATCACATATCCTCCAAGACAGAATGGCATATCCCTAAAGTACGGCACCGACGATCATGTAGGTGTACGATCGTGGTGCGTTTTTGCGGCACGCGTCGCGATTCCCCGTTGAATATCTAATCCGAACTGCGACTTTTCTTTGACCACACGGTATTTCGTCGTATAACTTATCTCGTGTGTAACGACGTCGGCTATCGATTACGATCCGCGTTGCCTTCCTCGTATCGATGAGCGTGTTATTTCCGCTTCAACACAGACGCTGATGTATCGCACGACACTTCATCACGATCGACACCACGGGTCTCGACAGTCTTGCGGTTGGCCTCTTTGAAGAAAAAATTTGTCGAGGAAGAAAAGGAATCGGAGAAGCAGAAAAACAAAAGGAAAAATCGCGATTCATATCCCACATGCGATATATCGATTGAAGATATATTTACGATAATCCTTCCAAATAATAATGATTGCGGTCGTCTAATTCGACGAATTTTAACCATTATCGAAGAATTAATGATTATGTGTATGTACAGAGTTTTAGTGTGCAATTACACGAACGCGTTTCACATTATTCCTCGTGCGATCTATTATATCTCCGTTTTTTTTTTTTATAAATACACAATATCCAATCATTAATAAATAAGTCACAGAATGTTCGTGGATTTTTAATGCTCTTTATTCAAACATAACGCGAAAACTTGTCCATTGAGAAAGAGATAAAACAATGTCGTGATCGGGTGCAAAAAACTGTTGCCGTAAGATAATGGATCGTCGGTTGACGATCCTATTTATCTCCGACTTTTTTATAAATATATAATTACGAGATATCTAATTATTAATAAATAATCTTTCTCTCTCTCTCTCTCTCTCTCTCTCTCTACAATAATTACAATTATATTTTCATGTTTTCGCTACTCAATAACGCAATCAATATTGTGGACGCAACCACGCAGCATTAAGGTTTTTTATATTACTTTGACTTACTTTGTGAGTTCCCTAATTACTTATAAGATATAAAGATTGGATTTGCATCTTTAATTGTGTGTAAATAACAATTCAAAGACTTACGTGTTTACGTATTTTACTGCACTTAGCTTTTCTTTCTTGAGGAGCAGCCATGGCCATCGCAATAATAACGAGAAGGGCGAAAATAACGAGTTTCATTTTGCCACGGATATTTATTTATTCTGGAATCAGATTTCTGTGTAAGCGGTGCTTCATATGCGGTCAGATGCAACGATAATTTAGTAATATTATTTCGACGAAAATCTCAATGATAACTGTCTGCAGCCGACTATATCTCTTTTTTAAATATTTTTGGCTTTTGACCGTCAATTGTCAAATATAAGTACATATTTTTATGTACCTCAGTAATATAGATACCAATACATAATTTATTACTGACATATTAGTTATATATACGAGCAATTTTTTATATACTAGTATTCGATTTTTTTAGGCTTGCGCGATCATTTTTAGATTTGATTTTTTAGGCTTTCGCGGCATCGGGTCGTTCCTCCCTGATGAAGCGAACTGAAACGTCGGACTCAAACAAAGATGAATCCACGCCACTCAAACCCGGATACCAAATCTAATACATACTAGTATATTTTATATATATTCAACGTCATTTTAAAGTAACTCAGGTGATAACTTTCTACGGATGTGGATCGCTTTACAGATCGTATATGATACTAAGTGATCGTGATCTTTGCGGAGTTTTTATACTTTGTATACACTTGAGTACACTATTAATTCACTCATTTGACAAGAAGATAATTTTTAATGGCGTTTTCTTTTATTTAATATTTCCGTGCATAACGACACGTGCGTCATCCACTAGCGGTTATACGAGATAAAAACATTTATCGTGAAATGTTTCCAAGAAACATATGGTGTATATTCAGTTGTAACTGCACATTAAAATACAAAGAAAGTTTGTCGAAATATATTACATGTTATGTAACAAGTTCGAGCAATGAGAGAATTTCTAATTAAATAAGTACATTTCCCCATGACGTTCGATATTGCCGCGTGTAATGGAAATTCCAATTGATTAATTACATCGATCAGCTATGATGTCTATCGCCTCTCTTGTTGCAGTTTATATTAACGAGAAAACATTATTATCGTACAATCTTAGCAAATGTATTTGTAACTGTAAGTACCTTACGAAGGTAACGAATAATACATATATACATATATATAATTATATACATGTATACATATATATAATTTTAAAATAAAAGTACGAGGGTGGTCTGAAAAGTTTCCGACCTAACAAAGATACAAGTCATTTTTTCTGAAAATTGTTTTTTATTTTTCAACATAGTCTCCTTGTAAATCTACACACTTCTCCCAGCGATGCTCCCATCTCTGTAACCCGTCGAAATAGTACTCGGCGTTTTTCTCTGCAAAATAATTGTTCACGAAGGTGATTGCCTCTTCATTTGACGAAAATCTCTGTCCTCCGAGCGCAATTTTTAGATGAGGGAACAAAAAGAAGTCGCTTGGGGCTAGATCTGGTGAGTAAGGTGGATGGTCAAGCAGTT